GTTGCACGCAATGGGGGCAGTTCCCTCAACGCTGCATCAACTACTGCGGTTCCCAACAGAGCATGGGATTGAAGAAGTCAGAGGAGATCAACTGCAGGCAAAGAATTGCTCTATGGCAGCAATGAAGTCTACCTGCAGCGTACGAGAGCCAAAGAAAGCAGAAATTGAAGATGAGGACATGGAGGTCCGAGAAGACGTCGGCAAAGAACCAGCCGAGAAGAGCGAAGAGGCGCTAAAGAAAATCCTCGTTCAGGAGGGCGACGAAGAGTGGTTCTTTCTTCTCGGCTCAGGCTTAGCCAGAGAAGAGGAAAGAGAACTGGAAGATTTTTTGAGAACAAACATAGAGGTGTTCGCCTGGACACCTTATGAGATGCCTGGCATTGACCCCGAGGTCACTTGCCACAGACTGAATGTCGACAGGTCGGCAAAACCTGTGATTCAACGAGCTAGAAGACCGACGTTGATGCACGTCGAAGCAGTAGAAGAAGAGGTAGACAGACTTCTAGAGGCCAGGGCCATCCGAGAAGTTCAGTACCCGATATGGCTGTCCAACACAGTAGTAGTGAAAAAGAAGAATGGCAAATGGAGGGTTTGTGTAGACTTTACCAGCCTCAACAAAGCCTGCCCCAAAGACAGCTTTCCTCTGCCCAAGATTGACCAGCTAGTAGATGCTACTTCAGGGCACGAAAGGATGAGTTTTCTGGATGCATACAGGGGGTACCACCAAATTGCCATGTACCCTCCAGACGAGGAGAAGACCGCGTTCATCACCTCTAAAGGCCTGTACTGTTACCAGGTAATGCCTTTTGGGTTGAAAAACGCAGGAGCAACTTATCAAAGGTTAGTAACAAAGATGTTTAAGCGCCTGATTGGCAAAACAGTAGAAGTCTACATCGATGACATGATCGTGAAGATCAAAAAATCTAAGGGTCATCTTGCTGACCTAAAAGAGGTCTTTGATATACTCAAAAGATATCGGCTCCGACTCAACGCATTGAAGTGCGCGTTTGGAGTTGGATCAGGTAAGTTTTTAGGGTATCTGGTAACAAGAAAGGGCATTGAGGCCAGCCCAGACCAAATCAAAGCCATCCTAGAGCTGCAGAGCCCGACGTCGGCAAAACAGGTTCAGATGCTTACTGGAAGGGCCGCAGCCCTAAACAGATTCATCAGCAGAAGCTCAGATAAATGCAGACCCTTCTTCAACCTGGTGAAGAAAGCCACAGACTTCCTGTGGACAAAAGAATGCGAAGCCGCTTTGACCGACCTAAAGAAGTACTTGACCACAATTTCGGTTCTTTCCAATCCAGCACCAGGGGAAGAACTGTTTTTGTACTTAGCAGTTTCAGAACACGCAGTTAGTGCAGTGCTAATCCGAGAAGAAAAGGGGAGCAAAATGCTGTTTATTATGTAAGTAAAACTTTGGCCGATGCAGAAACAAGATATCTACCACTAGAGAAATTAATGCTGGCCTTAGTAGTGGCTTCAAAAAAGTTGAACCATTACTTTCAGGCACACAAGATCGTGGTCCTAACAGAGCACCCACTGAAGTCCTTATTGCAACAAGGAGACTTAACAGGAAGAATAGCAAGATGGGTAGTAACCCTGGGCCAGTATGACCTGGAGTTCAGGCCGAGAACAGTAATAAAGGGCCAAGTTTTGGCCGACTTCGTAGCAGAATTCACGCTTGAAACCGTCAAACATCGGGCTCCGTTGAGCTAAGATGAGCATTGTCCCAGCAAGCAGGGAGAATCCCAGCCAAAGGCAAAAGAGCAAAGGAAGGAAAAACTCAGACCCTGTAGCATCTACATCGGCGATTCATTCAGACTGTTCGTCGATGGAAGTTCAAACCGTCAAGGAGCGGGGGGCAGGAGTATTGTTGATCTCTCTAGATGGAGAAATAATAGAACAGTCCAGCTAAGATGAGCATTGTCCCAGCAAGCAGGGAGAATCCCAGCCAAAGGCAAAAGAGCAAAGGAAGGAAAAACTCAGACCCTGTAGCATCTACATCGGCGATTCATTCAGACTGTTCGTCGATGGAAGTTCAAACCGTCAAGGAGCGGGGGCAGGAGTATTGCTGATCTCTCTAGATGGAGAAATAATAGAACAGTCCATCCGTTTGGGGTTCAAGGCCTCAAACAATAAAGCGGAATACGAAGCATTAATTGCAGGGCTAAAACTGACAGCAGCAGCAGAAGTAGATGAGGTAATTGTTTTTTGTGATTCACAACATATTGTTAACCAGTCAACAGGAGAATTTGCAGCCAGAGAAGAAAGAATGTCGGCATATGCAAAGGAAGTCATTAGATTGGCAGCCCTATTTCAGAACTGCCGACTACTCCAAGATAGCCGAGATGACAACACCCACGCCGACACGCTGGCCAACCTAGCAAGTTCAATTCAGACTGGAAAAACTAGGACAATTATGATCGACTATATGTCAGCCCCGAGCATAGAACCACAGAGCACCGAGTAAAAAGCAATGTGCGTGGACTTGGGACCAAGCTGGATGGATGCGATCGTTGCATTCCTAAAAGAGGGAAAGCTGCCAGAGGACTATAAGGAAGCACATAAAATCAGATTGAAGTCGGCCAGATTCAGTCTGATAGCAGAAGGCTATCTCTACAGAAGATCCTTCACTGGACCCCTTTTAAGGTGGGTACACCCTTTGCAGGTTGAAGATTTTCTCTACGAGATTCATGAACGGATTTGTGGAAGCCACGCTGGGGGCAGATCATTAGCCCACAGGGCCATTATCCAGGGGTATTGGTGGCCCTACATGCAAAAGGATATTGCCTACGTAAAGAAGTGTGAACAATGCCAAAGGTTTGCACCTTTGATACATCAGCCAGCTGTTGACCTGAACCCAGTATACAGCCCTTGGCCGTTCGCCCAATAGGGCATGGATCTAGTTGGGCAACTTTCCCAGGCAACTGGGCAGAGAAAATACTTGCTGGTAGCAATAGACTACTTTACAAAATAGATAGAGGCAGAACCTTTTGCCAAAATCCGAGATGTGGACGTCAAGAACTTTATATGGAGAAACATCATCACCAGATTTGGGATTCCAAGAGCAATAGTTGCCGACAACGGAACACAGTTTGACAGCAAACTCATCAAGAACTTTTGTGCAAAATTCAAGATCAAGAATTACTTTTCAACGCCAAGTTTTCCCCAAAGTAATGGGCAAGCAGAGGCATCCAACAAAGTAATTTTGGATGGAATAAAGAAGAGGTTGCAGGCAGCAAAAGGAAAGTGGGTAGACGAGTTGCCCAACATGATTTGGGCATATCGAACTACGCCGAGAAGATCAACAGGAGAATCCCCCTTTGCCATGACTTATGGCACAGAAGCAATCATCCCATTGGAGATCGGCATCCCAGGGATCAGGACCCAAGGAGTTGAGAATGGCACCAATGACGTACTCTTAGCCCGAGATCTGGATCTTTTGGAAGAACGAAGAGAAAAAGCTGCAATTCAGCTTGCAGTATACCAGCAGCAGCTTGCCAGAGCTTACAACAAGAAGGTCAATCTAAGAGATTTTCAGGTCGGCGACCTAGTCTTGAGAAAAGTAGTCGGCAACAAGAAGGATCCCAGAGAAGGCAAGCTTGGCCCAAATTGGGAAGGACCCTACAGAATTACTTCGGTATTAGGCAATGGAGCTTATCGGCTTGAAGACAATAAGGGCAAAGCACTGCCAAGACCTTGGAACACTTGTAATTTGAAATTTTTCTATCATTAGATATGCATTATTTTTTGACCGATGTCATCAATAAAGTTTTTTCAAGAGTTCTTTCAACACATATGACTGATAAAATTACATATTGATGTTTTTTGGGGACATAAATAATGAGAACCCAAGTAGAACTCAGGTTCACATTGGGGGCAGAAAGAAGACCGAGATTATTCCTTAATTTACTTGTTGAAATTTGTAGCAATTTACAAGTTGGAATTAAGCTGATTCCTTATTTTCGCTTGTTGAAATTTGTATCAATTTACAAGTCGAAGTTAAGACGAGATTATTCCTTAATTCACTTGATAAAATTTGTAGCAATTTACAAGTTGGAATTAAGCTGATTCCTTATCTTCGCTTGTTGACATTTGTAGCAATTTACAAGTCGAAGTTAAGTCGAGATTATTCCTTAATTCACTTGTTGAAATTTGTAGCAATTTACAAGTTGGAATTAAGCTGATTCCTTATCTTCACTTGTTGAAATTTGTAGCAATTTACAAGTTGAAGTTAAGCCGACATTACTGCTTCTCTTCGCTTATTGAAATTTGTAGCAATTTACAAGCCGAAGTGAAGCTGAGGTTATTGCTTAAGCCCTTATAGCAGTATATAGGTTACCTAAACCTAAAGAAGATGCTTAACACTTGTTGAAATTTGTAGCAATTTACAAGCTGATGTTAAGCCAACATGTGATCATCCGTTGAAATTTGCAGCAGTTTACAGGTTGAAGTAAAAGCTAAGTATATTGTTTAAACACTTGTTGAAATTTGTAGCAATTTACAAGTAGATCATTGCTTAAACACTTATTAACAGTTCACAGTATATGTTAAACACTTGTTGAAATTTGCAGCAATTTACAAGTAGGTTAGACCGAGATCACTGTTTACATACTTACTGAAACTTGAGAAGAAGCCTGCAAAGTTAACATTGAGTGGTATATGTTTCATACTTGTTAAAATTTATGACAAAGTTTGCAGGACAGTATCTTGCCGAAGTAAAGTTTGTAGTTATTATACCCGAGGTATGTAACCCCGAGAAGATTGAACAAAGGTGGCAAGACATAAAAGGCATACAACATATGATAAGTATAGAATCACACAGGAGTAATCAGGAGAAAATAAAAATTGAAGCATTCAGAGGAAAACAGTTGCAGTTGTATACAAGAAAGGCACATCGGCCATAAGAAGGAGCTTACATTGTCCAGAAATTGAAACAAAGTACAAACTACAAAGTACAAAAAAAATAAATAAATAAAGTACAAAAGACATGAAAGTCATGATTCTTCAGCTTCAGGAACAGTTTGGGTTTGGACCTCGGAAGTTTCTTGCGAAACCACTTCGACAACCTTCTCTGCCGCCAGCTCGGCGTCAATCTCCGCTAATGTTTTATCAAGACTTCTTTCAGCCAGAAGAAGGTCGGATGATAGCTGCCCTGGACCCGCCTCCTTGGACACCTCCTCAACCTCACCACCCTCTTCATCCAGAGTTAAGTCCATGACTTGCTCAGTTGGAGGAGGGGATTTGGTCTCATCGGCATCCTTGGGCTTCCTTATTAGAGCATCACCGTCATTGTTATCCTCATCCTCGGTATCAGCCTCAGACTCTGATTCGTCTTCAGCTTGGCTTGGAGGTGGAGGTGGAGGAAATGGAAGAGGAATAGCGTCGGCCTGGCGCAGTGGCGAGTCATCTGGGATATTGAGCTTTTTGACGAGGGCCATCCAACCAAGGGAAAAGCCCCTGTTGCATGCTTGCCTGACTTGAAGCTTGTATTCCTCAGTGACGTCATCCATGCCCTGGGCGTAGGCCTTCTCATCAGCTTCTTTGACTTCAGCCTCTTTGGTGGCCAGAGCCTTCTGCAGCTCCTTCTCAGCCTGGGCCTTTTTTACCTCGGCCTCTTTCTTTTCGGCCTCAGCAACTTTTCGGATAGCCTCAGCAGACTCCGCTTTCTCCTCGGCCATCTGCTGGGCCTTAGTAGCAGCCTCGGCCTGATCCTCCAATTTTTTCATTTTTGATTCGAGAGATTTGTTCTCCTTCTTCAAGGCAGACACCTCCCTCTTCATATCAACCAATCTTTGTCGATTTTCAAAAGATTGCATTGAAAATGAATGGGCGTGCTGGATGGCCTGAAAGAAAATAGAAGTATTAGAAAATCTTCTCAGTATGAAACAGAAGGAAAAGTCAAAGGTTCAAAGTAGGAACACTTACTTGAACGGAGTGCTGGAGCATTAGAGCGTAGTTCTCATATTCGCTGAACCCAGCATTTCGCTCCAGATCCTTTGGAAGGAGAAGAGCAGTGCTGAGGGCGACACCGACATTAATATCGTCGGCGCTTTCATTTGACATGATAGGCCTATCCCCCAAAGTTAACTTTGGTGCCCAGGGGACATCGGACTTTTTGGACCCCGAGGTCGTCGCAGACAATGACCTCGGCTTCTTCGATTGGGTGGACCCTGAGGGTTAGGCCTCGGCAGACCTCTTGGCAGAGGCAAAAGTAGCCTTTTTACTCTCAGCAAGTTAAGAGATGGGCAGAGCATCCTCAGCCTCAACATCGGTGGCTTTGGCTTTGGGCTGAGCCTTTTTAATTCTCTTCGGCTTTGGTGGGGGCATGGCTTGCGTCGGTTGAGCGTCAACATTCGTGGGAAGGTCGGCTAGAAGATCTTGGGCAATGGGCTTTGGGCGACCCATTTCGGCAGTCTTGACAAGTCTTCGCCGACGTTTCCTTTCAGGTACAGGGATCAAGTATTGGGCCAAACTGGATGGAAGATCGGCTGGGTCAGAAGTGGATCCTTGGTTTGTTCGTGATGTAGAGGCGGTTTGAGTTGTGGCAGTAGGCGGGGAGAGGCTCTTTCTTCTTGACTTTGGGACGTCGGGCAGAGTTGATTTGTATGTTGGAATAAAGTTCAGCACCAGTGGAGCCTTGCGCCTCTGGATGGGAAGATCTAGGAGTTTTTTCAGGTCTTTTCCTGGGAAGTACGATTGACGAAAGTTTTTTGGTGGCTGATGAAGATCTGCAGGACAAACAAACAGACATTAAGAAACAGAAAGTATTAAAGACTTAAAATAAAAACAATTAAGTGTTGGCACTGGGCTCTTACCCTTGCCCTCTTTAATTGTTCGAGGAAGAGGGTAGAGCTGGACATCTTCGTCTGGGCCAAATTCCCAATTTCCCGAAGCAATAACAAAGTCATCCCCAGCCCCCTTGTTGGGGTCTGGGAGGTCGGCTACGATTTTGAACTCGGTAGACCTCGGCTTAAGGTAGTAAACAAAGCCCTTTTCCTTCAGGTTGAGGGGACACATTGTATAACAGTACTGGAGGTCGGCCAGGGTAATCCTAACATTTTCCTGCCTAGCTAAGGCTATGATACCATTAATCACCCTATAGGAGTTGATAGTAAGTTGCATGGGGTTCAACCTGTAGAAATGAAGAACTTCACGAAAGAGAGGATTAAGTGGAAGTCGAAGTCCACATTCAGTAAAAGCTACTATAGGAAAGGGCATCGTATGATCTGTGGGCATGATGGAATCGTCATCCCCAGCTAGCCTGAGGTGAACATCGGTTGGGATGGAGAACTCCTGCCTAAAGTATTCAAGTTTTGTTGGGGTATTTACCCTATGTCTCCACATGCCCATGATGTCGGCCTAAAGTCAAAGGGCTAGGTCTCAGGAAGGAGGTGTTCTTAAAAGGTTATTAGAACCTCGGCAACAACCTAGGCAAGTACTGGTACGGTTTGTTTCAGTTTTCCCTAAATTAAAGATTCTACAAACAAATCCCAAGCCTAAGAACTATGAAGATGAAGATCAAAGGCACAGATCTGGAAAGGAAAAACAGAAAACAAGAAACAAAGAATGACGTTTCAGAATCGAAGAACAGAGGTATGATTCTCAAAGGTGAAAGAAGTACAGAAGCAAAAGGTCAAGAACCGTGGCAAGAAAAGTGTTGAAATAGTGCAAGTGTTCAAGATATGAGCAAAATCATGAAACAGACACATTCAGATGAATAGTACAACAAATCCAAGGTTTGAACAAAGCAATAATGGCAACAAGTAAATGAAAAAGCATAAAGGAAATTGAGAATAAAAGGAACAGAACCTTACCAGAACAAATGAGGCCGGAAAGAAAGTCGCCGAGGTAAGGCAACAATTGCAGACACAACGAAACGGCGAGAGCTTCGCTAAAATGAAGGAATGAAAACGGTTGCAGAGCTTCGAGTTAAAGCAATGGCGGATTTCAGAAAGTTTAGAGAGAGAGAGAGAGCCAGAAAATCGAATGCATAAAGTAAAGAAAAGATGGAAAGGAGAGTTTTGTAAAAAACTTGAAACGGCGGCAAAACATGGCATTTATTGCGCCTAGAGAAACGCGTGCGTCAGACGGCACAGATGAAGAAAAGACGGCTTACAGGCGCGTCACGAACACGGTCCAATGAGAATATAACGCGTGAGTAAAACGGTTGAAAAATGATGTATGACAGCTCATACGCATAAGGGGATTCATTTGAATTCTTGTTCTCCGAAGAGAACACGTCGGCCGAAAATGAATTATCTCTACTAAACAGTTTAAGAGCCACTATGCAGGAAGAAATAACAATATAGGTTCCATCACCTCAGAATCAGAACGCCGAGGTAATAGAACCTAGGGGGCAGTTGTGGGGATATATTTTCTAAAGTACCAACACGTGGCATGGTGACGCCGATGTGTCAGCCGAGGTGCCACGTATCGTGGTAGTTACGCCGAGGTGATCTCGGAGTTGCCGAGATTACCTCTGAAGATATCGGAATCCAAGATAAGCGGATAAAGGACAAGAGTCCTAGGACAAAGAGGAGACTTAGCCAAGATAAGGATAAAACTCTTAGGGAGTTTATCTTTATCTCTTGAGAAATCCAAAGTAAGTACTGAATTGGAGTTCATAGAAGTCATGCTTCTAGTGGGACTTGGATTGAGTAAAACTATAAAAGAGAGGCACCCCCGTGGGTCTAAGGTACGCAATTTATGTTTTAAGTATTGAGTTTAGCACTTGATTATCTTTGAGAGATATACTGGCTTGAACGTCGGAGTGCCCCCGGGTGGAAGAACCACCGCCGGAGCCTTTTCTTTCTGTTACAGGTCACTGAAGCCATCTATTCTGCTGGTGCTCTCCAGTTGATTACTAAGCAGGCAGTGTGGTCAGATTTTTACTCACATAGCTAATTTAGTTTGGTGGTTGAATTTATTTTAAGTATTTATGAACATTATAGCGACCCTAATTTTTCGAAAGTTATTATTTATTAATATTATTACTTTATTTTATTTTTAACTTTATTAATTGTGTAGATACATAAGAATTTAATGTAGTATTTAATTAATTTAATATGTTATTTATTATATATATATATATGTATATATATAAAGTTATTTATATTAATCTTATATGGGATATTTATATTTATATATGTTGTATTTGCATAGCATAATATAATATAATATGTCAATTAGATTATAAGCCTTAGAGGTTCACGTAAAAAAACAAAAAATGGCCGAGAGAGAGAGAGAGAGAGACAACTAGGAGAGATAGGTGAGGTAGAGAGAAAAATAAAAAGGTTAGGTTCATTAATTCTCTAAGTGATTCTTTAATTTAAAAAAAATAATTGTGAGTGCAAAACCTATTTCTCTTGATTTATGTTTAATTTGTTGTTTTTATTTATTTATTTTTATTTATCTGATGTTGGTTCGATTTTATATTTGCATGTAGATGATAGATTGATTTCATTATTTGGTTAGATGTGTACGTAAAGTTTAGAGTTTTTTATGTAAATTTATTTTATAGATGTAATCACACTCATGGTTATATGACTCCATGGATTGTTATTTTATTTGAGTGCTGGTGAAAAAGAGTGTATAAAAAAAAAGTGAGGATTTATGAGATTGATTTGAATACCTTAGGCTCAGCATTATTATATTTGTTCTCATAAGTAGATGAGGGATTGTGTATATATATATATATATATTATTGACTCATTCTCAGGAGTAGACGAGTATTTTGATTTACGCACGTACGTATATACTAAACTCGGGACGATATCCTCGTACAAGTTTGGCTTCAGAGCGGTGTTAGGTATACGTAAGACGCATGGGATATGTGTGTAGGCCGAAAGTGAAAAGCTGAAGTAGTGGAGTTAAGGTACAAATAATTAAATATAAACTTATTGGTATAGTTTGAATTGTTTTGATTGGTACATCTAAAAAAATAGAAAACGACCTTGATAAATTAAGAAATTTGAGCAGAGACATGTATACATAATTCTAGACAATTTTTGTATTTTAACGTTTTACAAAAAGATTGATTAGAACTTATAATCAAATGATCTTAGTTACAATAATTTTTATTCATTTTAGTAATGCAGATTTTAGATGCTATTTTAACCCACAAAACGAGCTCATTTTTATTGATTTCGCGTCAACTGAAGTAAAACATTATTCTGAACACTTTTTGTGTTTTAAAATTTTCTAAAAAAATCATCTTAGAGCAGTTTCTTTTCGTTTTCAGTTTCAGAATTTTTGGTCGAATTCTGTCTAGGTTCTTTTATCAAGTTTTTCTCTTAACCTGTTTAGTTTCTACTAAATCCTTCCACGTTGCCTTTTAAAAAATTTGATTCTGTATAACTTGTGTTTTTTGAGTGTTGGTCAATTCAAATGATTTAAACATGAAACGATGAGTTTTTATACTTCTTCAACAATGTACTTATGATTAAATTATACTAACTTTATTTTTTGCAGTATCGTGGGTCTTACTAACTTTTTATGCATGGCTGACCCATCATATTTTTATTTTTATTTTTTTTTATTTTATACTTAATTTATATTTAGTTGTGTACAAGTAAGAAACTAAATGTTACTATATCTCAGGAAACTACCCCTTCATCATGGTGCGGGTGGAACTACTTGTCTTGTCCTTGTAACAAGAATTAAATGTACTTTTATTTGTATCTGGTGGACACATGGGTGTCAAATCTTGTACTCATACCAGTATACTTGTATACTGACCCGTTTTGTCTCTTGACATCTCGAGTGCGCTCTGTTTGAGCGCAACCGAGCTTCCTTTGTAGGATTAGCTAGAACTACGGTGGTGACAAGAAATAACTACGGTTGTAAGACATATCTCTCAGACTTTTTTACTTTCTTGAGAATAGGGTTGATATTAGATTATTTATTTATTTATTTATGACCTTAGTATTTTGAGAATTTGGCATTGTAGGTTATTTTCTAGTTTTACATTATTTAAGCTGTTTTGACTATTTGTTGCTACTTTAATATTGGAGGTATGGGATAGTTATGAATTTATGATGGATAGTTTGGTTGACGTTTATTAA